TAGCGATGCGTATGCTCTCTGTAAGCATTTCGTTACGTAATCCCTAAACCTGAGATCCTGATCAATGAGTAAGCCCAGATTCTTTGCCTTACCTGTAATTTCAATGTCAGTATTGTATATTTAAGGTATGTGCCAATTTTCAGCTTTGTGGAAGTTTTTGCAAACCTACAATATTTTTTGCTGTACTTTGTCTGGGCTATTAATTACGCGTGTCTACATAACGAAGAGTTGTTGATATAATTTGCAAGTTAGCATAAAGTACGCTCTCATGCTGACACACATTCTGAATATTGCGTTGTTCAATTCATCCATTCATCAACTACATTGAACATAATAAGTTAGACAGAATGGAAAAATGATGAAAAAGCGAGTTAATAGGTAGGAACATTGTTCATTCTATAGGAAATTCCGGAATAGGCACAGTCAGACAGCCAACTCATTCATTTATTATTCATTATGCATTATTGTTTGTAGTTTATAGAGTGTTAGGGTGAGGTTACATTAGATGCAAGTCCGTGCGTTTTTTAAGTCGTATGTGCTCGGACGAAATTCAGCCGGACGACTAAACTGGTTACATTACATGCGTGAGTAACGAGGGCAGTTCGTAGTTTGAAGTGTTAACAAAATGAATGCTACTTCTCTGCTATTGTTTGAAAATAGTATGCTAAAATATCTCATCGCGGAAAAGAAAAGAAAATATTGGATCAATGATTTGTATAAAACCAGGAAGAACGAAGGTGAATATGTCAGGCTGTTCCAGGAATTAAAACAGCAGCCATCAAAATTTTTTGAATATTTTAGAATGATGTCAGCATTGACATTTGACTACATTCTGAACAAAATTGAAAAGAGAATTGAAAAACATTCTAACTTCCGGGAATGCATTGAGCCAAGGGAAAGATTATCTATAACTCTAAGGCAGGTATTTATTAAAAATAAACTTTTTATTTATATAATTGTATAACATTTATTGGAAAGTATGAAAATATGTTTGAACGTTCTCAGTACTTAGGGTGGTTGGAAACATTTGATTTGTATTATTATCAGATACAGTATTAGTTGAAGACTGATACGAAGATTGTGAAGGAAGCGATGTAGCAACAAGATTTTGAGCAGTTGAATTGTTGAGCAGCATTTCTTGTTCAGTTATAAATAGTTGCTGGATTTTAATGCATGTACATATTTCTCAGAGGTGGTAGGCTCTTCATTTGTGGTAAAAGGCTCATCAGAAACATATAATCGCTGTCGTTGTTATAATGATTATTGTCATTTGTAGAGCTCATTGCAGATAACTTTGCCATTTTTTCTCTTCTAAAGCTAACACGCGATCATACATAGTTGTTTCTTTCTTTTTTTTTGACTTAAAAATAATTTTCTCTTCATTGACTCTTTTTTGGGCTTTAGGTGTGCGGAAATTTTCATTCTCTTCATCTTTATCTCGTTCATTTCCTTCATCATCATGCTCTTCTTCTGTGTTTACATCAGAACTATTACATTCATCAAAATCTGTATTCCTCGGTGAGTGTATTGCACTACTCTCTCTACTACTCTCATTTGAATATTACCACTTGAAGATCTATTTGTCATGGAGTCCGTTAAAAATAACATAGCATCAAAATAAGCCCATTTAGTTTTTTTTCCGCCTTCGTCTCCTGAACGACCTCTTGACACTTTATTCAATTCTTTGCGAAAATTATCTCTGAGGCTTCTCCATTTACTTTTTACTTCTGCAATATTTTCAGATACTTGTCAACTGGAATGCCATTTCGTTCACTGGCATTTTCATTCAGAATGGCACACACGACTATAAGAAAAATAGTCTATGAAGTATGTCAAGCTATATGGGAGGAAATGAATCAGGAACACATGCCATATCCAACAGTTGAAAGACATCTCTCAATAGCTAATGATTTCTTCTTGAAATGGAATTTTCCAAATTGTATTGGTTGTATTGATGGTGAACACATAAGAATCCGTTGTCCACCGAATTCGGGCTCCATGTTTTGGAATTACAAACATTTCTATTCCATTGTGCTTCAAGCAGTATCTGACGCTAATGGAAGATTTCTGTATATTGACGTTGGCAGTTACGGCAAACAAAGCGATGGAGGAATCTTTTCAGCTAGTTCTTTAATGTATCACTTGGAAAATGCTAGTTTTAATGTTCCACATAAGAGAAAGATTCCGGGCACAGACGTGCTTGCTCCACTTGTCCTGTTAGGTGATGAAGCTTACCCTCTAAAAGTCTATTTAATGAGGCCATATTCTGGTAGAGGGCTGGATGAACAAAGAGAAGTTTACAATTATCGATTATCACGAGCACGAAGAATTGTTGAATGTGCTTTCGGAATTTTATGTGCTAAATGGAGGATTCTCAAAAAAGAAATTGAATATCACCCAGATAAAGCTGAAATTATTGTAAAAACTACATGCCTTCTTCACAACATAATCATCGCTAGAGAAGGATTTAGCAGCGAGATCAATATTCAAAGAAATACCCCTGCAACTGAGATTAATAATCTTCCTTCCTTCAAGAAGAAACAACCATTCTACAGATGTAGCTTGCAATACACGGGAAATATTCAAAAATTATTCCAATGATCCAACTGGTTCAGTGTCATTCCAGTATGTTTGCAATACAAATAACAGCAATAAATAAACAATTTTTAAACATGTTTTTTTTTAAATAATCATTAACTGTAGATATGCGTAATATTAAAAAACTAATGTGAATTTAATGAAATACTTCGATTATAATTATATTTGCACTTACTTGTATACTTCATTTCCGTAGCAACTTCATCCCAAAGTTTTTTTACTAGAGTCCTATTATGATAGTCTTTGGATTTTTGATTCCACAAAGCATTTCGTCTTCGTACAAAAGTTATCAATTTTTCATTATCCATTTTGCAACTTGGAAATTGTCAATAGATATTTTTATTTCTGCATATACTTCTCCGTGCACGCATGAAAAATCAGACCAGTTTGATTTCGTCCGATGGATAAAGACGTACGTACTCCGACGTACAAGCTCAGACCAGTGTAACCACACGTGTTGAGTAGAACGCGTTTGATTTTCGCTGCGAGCACGTCCGCGCGCGTACGACTTAAAAATCGTATGGACTTGCATCCAATGTAACCGCCCGCTTAGAGAAAGTGCGACGGTTAGGAAGTGGCGTATGTTGCTGACTATATCGTCGCTTGAGAGCAGAACTATACTATGTCCATTTTCCGTATTTTCCACTTTTAACATTAAGATATACATTAGAGGTTGCTGAATTCAATGCAGAAACAGTTTATCTCTATAGTGGAGGGGAGACCAATAAAGTCCCAAATACAAACTAGCCTAACTTTTATTAGAAATTTGATTTCAGTGCAGAACTATTCTATGATGCAGACAGTGTTCCAAAGTTGCGCTCTTCATTTACTCTGATGGACATAGACTAGTTCTGACCTGTCGGTTTGGAGTTAAATGTAAGCTTACGAAATATCTCAAACACATTTTTTTTGCATGCGAGTCCAACCCTGTAGCACACGAAACCTTTCCAGAAGGTACACAAGGCAGCTTAGTGTGACTCAGCGCGACAGCCCTTACGCCTGTTTACATTATACATTCCATTCCTTCGCTGGGTACCTGTTCCCAGGATAAACTTTGTTAGTCGGGCGTAGACGGCGATACATTTTAATTATCGCGTGGACCAGATCGCTTCTCAGACCAAGTAGTGTGAACTTCATTACGGTGTTGATGTGCTATTGGGTGTGGTGTTTTAGTTACCTGAAAGGTGAGCAATCACTGAGTGTTTCCTTTATTCTACTGTACTGCATGGATTGATAACCATAATAGTTTTATATTCATGATCATGAATGTCTTAAGCCATGTTTATAAAGATGCTATACCTTTTACCTTCATAATTTAACATGGCTTACTACTTGTTATTGAATATCCGCAGGTGGGACGCCTCCAGGTTCTGGGGGTTGTTATGGGACTTTCGGAGCCCGTTTGCTGGGTTGAGGTAGTTATGTTACTTACTGCTCGGTTTCCTCTACTAGGGGAAACGTCGGAGCGCTTTGGATGTTGACACGGTGGCCTTTGGCCGAAGTGGCGTCCTTGGTCTTAATGACCGCTTAACTATCTTCTCCTGGCAATCGTTGGAGTCTGAATGTATCTCATGGCAGGATGTGTGAAGGGATTGTTACTTTAATTATAGTCATATTGCTCGGTTACCTCTGATTCAGGGGTAATGTCGGAGATTTGGGGTATTGACACAACGGCCCTTGGTCAGCGTGATATCCCGGTTCCTGGACTGTCTTTTTGTAACAATCGTTAAACTCAGCACGTCTGACCATACACCTAGCGACCAAAGAGTTATATTGAGTCTTTGTGATGACTCCTATTAAGTCTGTGTGATGACTTAACGACCAGTCTGTCGTTATGACGGTCCCGTGATTCAGTCGATGACGAATCCGTAATAGTAGTTGGGGTACATTAATGTAATGGTAGATAGTAGATTTGTGCATGTGTTGTCATGAGTCGGTTGAATACAGGAGATACTCATAAGTCTTTTTCTAAAAATAGGTGTTGGCCCCGACAATCCGATCATATCGCCCTTATCGCTTGCCAAAGCAGGATAACTCGTTGTCATTTCGTCACCAAGTAAGTGACTTTAATACTACCCTGACATTGTTGCCCATACCGAATTGTTTACGTACTGCCCACGTAGTAAAAATGTAATGGTACGGGGCGGTACTTCGAAATCTTCTAAGATGAGATGTTTTCACGTTCATCGTTATATTGCTATTATCATATTATCAATTTCGCATCCTACATATATAGAAATATTGAACATAGAATATTTCTGATTTGTTTTCTTCGGACTTCGTATAGTATATCAGTGGACGTAGGTTTGTTCTGATTTGGCATTTATGATTTATGATTATGATTGAACACAAAACGCGTGTTTCTGCCCACAACTTTAAAATCTGTAAAATGTTTCATAAGTATGGAGAGTAAGTACTGTGATGAAAATGGTATTCAACGAAAAGCTACAGAAAGCGTGTACAGAACGGTGTTCAATACTGAATTTAATCTATCATTCTTTCAACCGAAAAAGGATTTGTGTGATATGTGTCACCGGTATGAAAATGGTTCTAAGGAAGAAAAAAGGGAAATGGAAGACGAGTATCAGCAACATTTAAGAAATAAGAAACTGGCAAGGGACATCAAAGCAGCCAACAAAGAAAGAGCAAAGCAAAGCACAAAACTTTGCTCAGCAGTTTTTGATTTACAGCAAGTATTATCGGTGCCAAAAAGTGACGTAAGTTTGGCGTATTACAAGCTTAAGCTATCTACATGTAACTTCACCATTTTCATTTTAGCTTCGCAAAACGCCTTCTGCTATATGTGGTATGAATGCATTGCCAAAAGGGGCGCATCTGAAATTGGTAGCTGCCTTCTTCTTTTCATTGAGCACCAAGTTCAGTAAGGCGTTAATAAATTTGCGCTCTTTTCTGATAACTGCGCAGGTCAGAATAGGAATAAATATTTGTTTTCGCTCTACAATTATCTTTCTCAAAAACATAAAATAAAGATACGACACATATTTTTGAAAAAAGGACACACTCAGTCTAAGGTGACTCGGTACATAGTGTTATCGAGAAGGCCGCTAGGAATGTCCCGATTTACACACCTGAACAATGGTACATCCTTGTCAGGACCTGCAAAACAAAACAACCTTATATTGTAATTAAGTTGGAACAAGAAGATATCAAAGACTTAAAGATTCTACAAGAAAAGTCTTCAATAAACTGGGCCTGTAACGAGCAAAACGAACCTAAAATTCAAGAAAACTACTTATTGAATAAGAATAAATAAATAATATGTCTGTTTTTATGTAACAGGATTAGGTATACGTTTGTTTATTTGAAATAAAATTTATTTTAAAGTACTCATGACTTATTTATTTCAATTAATCAGAACTATACTATGTCACAAAACTCAAAGTCAATTGCATTCTAACTTGCACATAAAATACTATGTATTTGTAGGTAAATATACTATGTCCACTATTTTTGTAAATCACTTGGATTTTGAATTTCGATAAGAAAATTTTAATATATTAGCCTGCCCCAAAGGATATAAAACATATACTTACTTTAAATTCTGAACACAATCCCAAAAATACAGAAAAACCCTTCTCCTGTAAAATTTGCATTTTGTGACTTAGTAGATATACTTCTGCTCTCATGTGACGATATATTCTACAACCGGCTGCTCTGCACGATAGCACCTATATAAGTTATGGAATCCTGTTGGTAACATAACTACGTGGCACAAGCCCATTATTCTAACAAATTGAATTGTATGGCAAGCAAGCCCATTAAGAAATATTTGCTTTTTACTTCTTTTTTTCGATACAGCTCTGTTATTTTTCCTATAAAGATTATAATTATATCGAGGCACACACAGATTTTGTTCAATACTTGTAACCACTCTTCGTTCCTGCAATAAAGTCTGTTATTTTTTTACCATACGACGTGTGCATTCTTTATCTGGCGCTGCGAACAGGATCGTTATACGCCTTCGTGGAAAACATCTGGAAGTTTGTACGAGCCCAGCCAACCATCAGTAAAATCTTCGAGATTCATCAGGTGAGCTGAACTACGTCCCTTCTGTGTGACCAACCATTGTGAGGTTCATACCCTACTGAGCGAGGGCCGTGGCAAATGCTTGTTCCGGAAGTTGTTGTATCCAGTATACAACTTCTTCCCGTCCAAGTGATTGTGCACGCGTTAAGGAATACCTCAGTACCGATTGCCGGGTGGCGGTACAAGTCCGCCAACGGGCCACTTTAGGTCTATTTAACATCACTAACACGTAAAAAGAAGGTGGTAGACAAGGACCAGTCGACCGAGGCAGTACCACCCGCTAGCTTTTCCCAGGGTGTCTTATAAATGTCCGCATGTTTCCACACCTAAGCTATGCAGTCGGTTATCTACCAAAACAAAGAAATTAATGATGATGGATCCCTCGAGCACTAAAAACTCCTGACGTAAACTCACTCCACTCTGGGAATGTCCCGGTGGAGGGTGGGCTCGAGGGAACAACATCGAAGATAAAATTTGTTTTTCGAACATCTGCGGGATCAACAGCAACATTGATGCTGTTCATCACTACCTGCAATCCAATCGTCCCACCGTGCTTTTCTTGGCGGAGACAAAAATCTCAGAGACTGCACCGATTAACCATCTCAACTTCCCAAACTACGAGGTGCACTCCAATCTGAGAAAGAACGGGGGAGTTGTGGCTTTTGTCCGCAGCAGTCTTTCCTGCTCCAGGCATCTTTCTTTGGAATCAGACCGGAAGGACATTCTGTGGCTTCGCCTCAACTCCAAAACATCACCCAAATTTATTTGCTGCCTTTATCGCTCTCCCTCGAACCATAACTGGGATGACCTACTCGAATACCTCGCCGTCCAGATCGACTTCCTGAACATCAATCACCCCGCTTCAGAGGTAGTTCTTCTCGGTGATTTCAATGCCCATAATGAGCTTTGGTTGGGCTCAAATAAGACCGATGCAGCAGGTCGTGCAGGCGAAGCGTTCGCTCTTACTCAAGGGCTGACCCAGCTGGTGACGAGCCCTACTTTTTTCCCCCGCGTCTCGTCACACGCCAGTAGCCTGCTGGATCTCTTTCTGACCACGCATCCTGCCCCTTACAGCAGTGCTGTCCTGTCCCCCCTGGGTAACTCAGATCACGGTGTTGTGGAGGTTAGGTTTCGGTCAGAAGCCGCTGTGGCAGCAGAAACTCGCACAGGCTTCAAAACTTGGCATTACGGACATGCCGACTGGGAGGGGCTCAGAGACTTCTTCTCTAGCTTTCCTTGGAGAGATGTCTGTTTCACTGACGCGGATGCGTCGACTGTCTGTTCTTCAATAACCGAAATTATCCACGTCGGAATGGAGGAATACATCCCTCACACAGTGAAAGTTCCTAAACCAGAGTCCAACGGCTGGTTCAACAAATCGTGTGACACTGCTCGCCAGCAGAAGATCAAGGCCCACAGAACCTACTTACAAAACCCCACTGTAGAGAACAGACAAGCCGACGTCGAGTCCAGAAACAAATATAACGAAGCGGTTCGCAATGCCAAAAACCAGCATGATATAAAAGTTAGGCACAGGGTAATGTCGCAGCGCAATGGCAGTCGGTCTTTCTGGACGCTGGCCAAGCAGATTGAAAAGAACTTCTCACACAGTAGCCTTCCACCACTTACGTGTCAGGATTGAACTATTGTATCCGACTCAAAGGCCAAGGCGGAAGTGCTAACCAAAATCTTTGCTGCCAACTCCACCATGGACGTCCCCACCAACGCCCAAGTGCCATCAATTCAAAGGGTTCCCCACACTATGCGGGAGGTAACATTCAGGCATAAGACCGTAAGACGAGTGCTCTTGTCGCTCGACATCAACAAAGCTTCTGGTCCGGACTTGATTCCTGCCATTGTACTGAAGAGATGTGCAGCGGAGCTTGCTCCAGTTCTTTCGCGCCTCTTCCAGATATCTTATGAATCCGGCACCTTCCCAGAAAACTGGAAATTTGCTCATGTACAGCCCATCCCAAAAAAAGGATCTAAAACCGACCCTTACAACTACAGGCCTATAGCTCTGCTTTCTGTTATAAGTAAAGTGATGGAGAGGTGTATAAATCGCGAGCTTCTGGACTACCTCGAACGTCACAGCTTGATTAGCGACAGGCAGTACGGTTTCCGGCACCAACGATCCACAGGGGATCTCCTAGCTTACGTCACGCAACTGTGGAGTAAACTCATTCAGTCTCATGGTGAGGCTCATGTCGTTGCTTTTGACATCACGAAAGCATTCGATCAGCTGTGGCACGCTGCCCTCTTAAGCAAACTTCCATCTTACGGCCTCCCAGAAAAGCTTTGCAGATGGGTGGCTGACTTTATCTCTGGCCGCAAGATATCCGTCGTAATTGACGGATTCTCCTCTTCATCCCACAACGTCAACGCGGGTGTTCCCCAGCGATCAGTCTTGGCTCCAACACTCTTTCTCTTACATATCAACGACCTCCTTTCCTGCACGATCAACCCAATCCACAGCTTCGCTGATGACAGCACTCTACATGCAGGAATCCAGAGTGACAAGCCGATCTCTGCCGCTGAGCTGGAAAAAAGAAGACTAGCGACAACTTCTTCTCTGACAAGAGACCTGGAGGCTATCACTGCTTGGGGACGCAACAATCTTGTACAGTTCAATGCTTCCAAAACACAGTACTGTACTTTGACGAACAAAAAGCGTCCTACCGCTCATACAGTTTCAATGGGCGGTCGAGTTCTACCAAAGAGCCATTCATTTCGGCTGGTCGGAGTCCAGATCACCGAGGACCTGATCTGGCGCGAACACATCTCTTCAATAGCTGCAGCTGCTGGGAAAAAGCTAGGCTATTTGTTTAGGGCTAAGAAGTACTTTTCTCCGCATGACCTTCTCACTCTATACAAGGCCCAGATAAGGCCTAGCCTCGAGTATTGCTCACACATTTGGGGTGCTGCCGCCCCGACTACATTGTCCATGCTCGATGCTGTCCAGAGGAGGGCGGTCCGGCTGATCGATGACTCTTCTCTAACAGACAGTCTCGGGACTCTTTCGCACCGGCGGGCCGTCGGCGATCTAGCTCTTTTCTATCGCTACACCAACGGGCTTTGCTCCTCAGAGCTCTCTTCCATGATGCCGCCGCGCGATGTGCCTGCCAGACAGACCCGCCTGACTTGGGCGTCCCATCCTAACCGTGTCAAACTTCGTACATCCAGAACTGGCCGATACGACCGCTCCTTTGTCCCGAGGGTGTCTAGATTGTGGAACAATCTACGGGAGGAGGCTTTTCCCAGTTTTACTAACCTTAGGCAGTTCAAAAATCGTATTAACAAAATTTCTTTGGGATCATCATAGCAGACGCGGTGTTCCGGCATTTAGGCTTCTGCCTGCGCGGCTGTTTCGATATAAAAAAAAAAAGGAAGTATCCACTTCCGTAAGAGAAACGATCTGAGAACCTGAGAGCCACGTTCGAGGTCCCTGCAGAACGAGCCTAGAGAAACAGAGAGCTACAAGAACCAGAGCAGTCTCCGTTATGAAAAATTTGATTTTTCACATAACGCTAGAGTAAGCCAAATCCATTTTATCTATTTAGTCAAAGAAACTTTTGGTAAATCTCCAGTACGAGAACGATCACCCATTAGAAGACAACCAGTAAAAAACCAAGCTAACGTTAGAGAGGAATTCAGAACAACCATGGCTGACAATCCACAAATGGTATTTAACCTATTGAAAGATAGTGTGCCTATTTTTTCTGAAACATCAAATAATTTATCTGTATATTTACGTAAATCTAGAGAATTTGTTGCCGCTTTGCATGGCCCATATCAAATTCATGCTTTATCGTACGTAAAATCGAAACTACAAGGAGAACCTTCTGTTATCGTTGAACGAAAGAATCCTCAAACTTGGCAAGAATTTGAAGAAATTCTCAAAGAACGTTACAAAGATTCAAAATCCGAATTAATGCTACTTGATGAACTTAGAAATTTATCCCAGTACACAGACTATATGAATTTTCATACTGAAATTTTGCAAAAATTACATATTCTTAGAGAATATGCTCTTTTGGAATTTTCTGATGTAGTTGCTCAATCTAGAGTCGACCTTTACACAGAAGCTGCATTAAATTCATTTGTAACTGGTATTAAAGAACCATATAAATCACTCCTATTTAACGCAACACCTACAACTCTTCAAGCTGCCTTACAAATTTGTCGAAAATACGATAATTTACAAATACAATCGCAATGCAGAGTATTTACTAAACAAAATGCCAAAAATACTAACGCCATTCAAAAACCGAAACCTACAAATACCGTTCAAAATACACTTATGTGGCGATTCCCTTCAAACCAACAATTTTACAATCCGCAATTTTACCAACAGCCACAACGATCTAACTTCCCAACTGGCCCGATTAACATCTGACCAAATTATTTTAATAATCAATTTCAAAGAGAAATTCAACCACGACAGCCTAATTTCTATCCACAAAATAGACACAAAAAGCTTTAAACCGACACCCATGTCTACATCAACTATTACGAACCGCCCCTCGCAACAACAGAATCAATACCGTCCTAACTTTTTCTCAAATCACGGACAAAGACCAAATTTTATCGCTGAAGAACTAACCAACACCGAGGCGACCGAACAATCACAAAACGAACAAGAATACGATGAACAGCAATACTATGATCCAAATTATGAAAATTATGACCAACAAGAATATGAAAATTCAGATAGTAACCCTACTGTCGAGTTTCCCCCTGAAGAGACAACTCAAAATTTTCCGAAAGCCCCAAATCAAAACCTATTGACTTAGATCTCAATAATTATGAGAACACACATTTGCCATACATTTATTTACAAAATTTAGATTTGCTAGTTCTTACAGACACTGGTGCATCTGTCTCTTTGATCAACACTCAAATTGCTTTCAATTATTTTCCAGATTACATTTATCCAAAACACTTTTCAATAAAATCTGTCATTGGTACTAAACACGGTGAATACGCTTTGCGAATTCCTTTGTTCAATGAACATGGCATTAACACTGAAATTGAATTTCTCATTCTAGACTGGCACGAACGTTTTGACTGTTTGCTAGGATATTATGATATACAAAAATTTCAAGCTACTTTACAAACATCTAAGAATTTGCTATCCATTGATCGTTTAAACTTTATTTGCCACACTGACAAAATACCACGTAAAGTCCCGAACACTGTAATCAAAAATCAAGTTCTAAAATCCCCTATCAAAAATGGACAAATTATCGTTCCACCTATTAAATATCTAAATTCTAACGATTACACACCCGAAATGATTTGTACCGTTAATAATTACGAAGTACTATACCCAGAAAATCCAAATCTATTAGATTTAAACTATCAATGCATCAAATACGACAATTTGGATAATTACGACATTGAAACACCCAAGAATGAATATAATTTAACTGATATTGGAACTTTAATAAGAACTGATCACATGTATGACGAGGAAAAATACAAAATAACAGAACTTTGTAGAAAATTTCCTGAAGCTTTTCTAAAACCTAACGAAAAATTAGAGCCATGTACCGTAACATCTCATTCTATCAGAACAAAACACGACGACCCAATATTTGTAAAATCTTTTCGCTATCCAGTCTATTTAAAAACCGAAATTCAGAAACAAGTTGTTAAACTTTTGCAAGATGACATCATCCATCCCAGTACAAGTCCGTACTCATCACCTGTATGGATCATAAATAAGAAGCCTGACGCTTCCGGCGTTAAAAAATATCGCATGGTAATCGATTTTCGTAAACTAAATGACATTACTATCGACGATAAATATCCTTTGCCCCGAACTGAAGAAATATTAGAGAGTTTAGGCAAAGCCAAATATTTTTCAACGTTAGATCTGGCACAAGGATTCCATCAGATTCCTATGCACAAAGACTCAATTAAAAAGGCTGCCTTCACCGTCGACAACGGGCACTATGAATACTTACGAATGCCCTTCGGACTGAAAAACGCTCCAGCAACATTCCAAAGAATGATGAATTTTGTTTTAAAACCTTACATCGGAAAAATATGTTTCGTCTATTTAGATGACATAATAATTTTCTCAAAATCGTTGCAAGATCACCTTATTCATTTGAAATCTATATTTCAAGCTTTAATTAAACATCAATTGAAAATACAACTTGACAAAACAGAGTTCCTAAGAACAGACGTTCCATTTCTGGGACATGTAATAACGCCAAACGGGATTAAACCAAATCCGGATAAAATCAGATGCATTCAAGATTTTCCAATACCAAAAACTATCAAACAAATTCAATCATTTTTAGGATTAACCAACTATTACAGAAAATTCATTAAAGACTTTGCCAAAATTACCAAACCTTTCACTAAATGTTTAAAGAAAGACGAGAAAGACTATCACTAATTCACCCGTACTCCAATATCCTGATTTTTCAAAAACGTTCACGTTAACAACCAACGCCTCAAATATTGCGATAGGAAGTGTTCTATCACAAGACGGAAGACCTATCAGTTTTCATTCAAAAACATTAAACTCTGCTGAACGAAATTATTCCACCATTGAAAAAGAACTCTTAGCCATTATTGATTCATGCAAACACTTTAGACCATATTTATTTGGACATAGATTTCTGATTGAGACTGATCATAAACCTTTGATGTGGTTATCAAATTTGAACGAACCAAACCAGAGAACTTGAATACGATTTCGAAATCAAATACAAAAAAGGCAAATCAAATTTAGTTGCTGACGCCTTGAGCCGAATCTAGATAAATGTTCAGGATTATCTCGAAACCGAATCAATTTTCCCTAACGCACCCGAATCAGAAATGACTATTCACGAAACAGACAACAGATCACTAACACGAGACACACTTCGCCTGAATCAAACCCAAACTCGATTCAATTTTCAGACAAAAACTTTTATAACTATCCTCACCGAATTGAATTTATAACGGGTAAAAAGAAAAACAAGATCAAATTACTTCCGAATAAGACACTAAGGTGCTCTTTAATTAATCACTTATGTTCCTCATTTATTTTGGATTGTATAAAAAATTATTGTACCTCTGGTATTAAATACGGAATTTGGTACGACGATCAGAAACTTTTGCCCATACTTAGTAAAATTATGACCCAATCTTTTTCTGCAAAACATATTGTACTAGAAAAAGCTGCATTTAAACCAATTTATTTAGACAAACAAGAAATGAAAGACGAAATAACTTTGTACCATCAATAATTTCACAACGAAATTAATGAAACTTATTCTCATTTCCAAAAGACTCACTATACACCAAAACTTAAAGACCCTATAACTGACATCATTAATAAATGCGAAATCTGTTTAAAAGCTAAATACGAACGAAAACCTTACAAAGAACCAATCCAAGGCCCATGTTTCAGTAACAAACCATTCCAACTAGTGTTCATAGATATTTTTACTATTGAAAATATTAAATATGTAACTTTTCTAGACCACTTTAGTCGATATGCCCAAGCCTATCAGACCATGTCACGAAATCACGTTGACATACTATCTAAAATGAAACATTTCTTTTCACATCATGGATTTCCAAAATTACTTCATGCCGATTATCGAGAATTACGTTCAAAATACATTTGCACTTAGGAAGCACCAGCAATCCTAGTTCTATTGCACCAATTGAACGATTACATAGTACCATTGGAGAAAAATTTCGAATCCTAAGACAAACTCGAAAAACAGACACTACTACTGACCTAATGACTGACGTTATATTAAATTACAATCAATCTGTTCATTCTACTACAAAACATACACCTTTTGATTTATTAAAAAACAAATATTAGAAAAAGACAAAATTAATGAACAAATCGCTCACGATTCTTATAATCAATTAAAAAAACAAACTAACAAAGTTAACGAAAAACGCGTATCTAAGATCCCCGTTTTAAAATCTCCGATCTATATCAAAATTCCAATCAGACAAACTAAGGACAAACCAAAATATCAAAAACACACTATTTTTAAACAACAAGGAAATCAGATTTTAATCAAAGATAGAAAACACATGCTGAGACGAATCAAGCCTCAACGTAAAAATCCTTTACAGAGCTCTACCAGTCCAATGCCTACCAATCCAAAACTACATGAACATCAACACGCACTGAATCTACAGAATTAAAAAGTTATTTTCTTCTGTAAAGGTTTGCAAGGCACTTTTGAGCACAATACTATCAATATCCAAGAAGCATAGTTTCTGTTGCAGAAAATATGGCTTTTCAAATGAAATTCTTCGAGCAAATCGCAGATCAAATAAGTTTAAATTCAAATTAATCATTTGAGCGTCCGATCCATTCTTTCATTAAATCATAGGGAAATAAATATCCTCATTGAACATTTGCAAACTTTATACCATAAAGATCATCTGTTAGATTTTGAAACAATGCACCCTTTTGAGATACTGAATCTTTGCGAATTATCAATTGTAACTTTGCGAAATGAATCATATTCGTAATTCATGTACCTCTTCTTGACCGTAGAAACTTACAGTGTTTTTGAATTGTATCCGTTAATTATAAGAAATGAATTAATAAAGATCCCAAGCAATTTTACTTTGTAATTTGAAGAAGAAAGATTTTGCTCCAATTTAATCAAACTAAGTAACAATCCGCATTTATGTTTTTAATTACTA